AGAATACGAATAGAATAGAATGGAACAGAACAGAACAGAATTGAATATAGGAATAGAATAGAAAATAGGAATAAAATGGAATGGAATGGAACGGTATGGAATAGAACAGATATTGGAATGAAGAATAGAATAGGATAGGATAAAAGAATAAGAATAGAATAGAACAAGATTGAATATAGGAATAGAGTAGACTAGAAAATAAGAATAGGAATAGGATAGGATAGAATAGAAAATAGGAATAAAATGAAATGGAACGGAACAGTTTCCACCCGTTGCTTTTTCTCCTGCCTTCAGGTGCCTTGGAAAATAGCCTGACCCCTTCCTCCTCCTCTCTGGGGCAGCCCCTCAAATATTGGAAGACGGCTCCCCTGCCCCCCCCCCCCCAGTCCTTCGATTCTCTAGACTGGCCCAACCCCTCCGCTTTAACTCCCATAGGTGTTGTGAGGATGGCCCGTGCAGCCACCTCCAGACTCCGTTCTGCTGCAAAACCCTGAGAATGACAGGCGGCAGAGTATTTTAACCAGTAACCGGTATTTCCCGTTTTCTGGGCCCAGCTATGGTGAAAGTCCAGCGGACGGGGCAAAGGGGCAAAGTTAAGGAGAATTTGGGCCTGGATTAGTTCTGGCCAGACAGACAAGCCGGGACTGGTTTCCCTGCCTCAAGGACCCCCCCCCCCCCCCATTCTTTACTTCTCGTTGGCTTCCTGACCACCAAGTTGAATTTCTCTCCCTTCCAAACTTCCCTTTTCTCTGGTTTTTAATATTAAGTGTTTAAACTACAGGTGCGTTGTTGTTTTTTTAAAAAAAATAAAAATTGGCCCCCTTTAAGATGGGTAGACATCATCTCCCAGAATTCCCCAGTTACGAGGACTTAGAGCGGGTGGTTCAGAAATCCAACCGCCGAATTTCATTTCCCAGAGAATTTGGTGTGAAGAAGCAACTGTAGAAGCCACCTTGACCCATAAAGAAGAGCAAGACGGGGGGATTCTGGGAACTGAAGCCCACCCAGCTTCAAGTGGGCGAGGTTGAGGGGAATTCCCATCCCAAGACTGAGGAGGGTCTGCATTTCAGAGGAGACCCGACCACCCGCCGCCCTCCCTGGCCTGGGTCCAGCTGTTGACTTCATTGGCTCTACATCTTTTCCCACTCCTGTTCACACCTGGCGGAGTGGGTGGGGACGCGATGATGGACTACAACTCCCACCTGGCTGGGGATGTGGGAGGCATCTATCAGGCACTGCCATGCGGAAGGTTGGCACTGGGAGAGGGTGTAAGGGAGGGGATGCTTGGTTTGTCGATAGAAGGTTGATTGACGCCTCCTCGTGTATGTTTGGAGTATGTGTGTGAGACAGTTCACGCCTGTGATTCTTTTATTTCTCTTTCCTCTTTTTGTTTCCTTCCTTTTTTCTCCCTCTATTCTTTCCTTTCCTCTTTCCCTTCCTTCCTATCCCTCTCCCACTTTTTCTCTTTTCCTTCTTTCTTTTTTCTCTCTCTTTCCTTCCTACTTTTCTTTTCCATCTTTTTCTTTTTCTCCCTTTTCTTTCCTTTTCTCTTCCCCTGCCTTCCTATCTCTCCCTTTTTCTCCCTTTTCCTTTTCTTTCTGGCCTTTCCTTACTTTTTCATCTCTCTCCCTTTCTTTTTCTCCCTTTTATTTCCTTTCCCCACTTCCCATCTCTCTCTTTTTCTCCCTTTTCCTTTCCTTTTCCTTACATTTTCATCTCTTCCCCTTTCTTTTTCTCCC